CTAGCATTTTATGTATTAGTGGTCCTTTTAACCTGCGTAATCTAATGCTTAATCCAAGTGGGATAATTGGACAGGACATAAGTTATGATTAAAGTGAGCCAAATTTAAGGGGACATACTTGGAAGGCCTGTCCATACAGGATAATATTACTGTGATCAGGGCTTAACAACACGCAGAGCAGAAAATGAAACTGACGAAAATCATGGCAAGAACCTTTCTCAAAATTAATTTGCAGCAACCAGCATCGCCTACACTTTATATGGATATCAAGCGTATTGTAGGTCAGACGGATTTTCATAAGGCAACGAGTAGTGTCTGTGGTCGACCTTTCACCTAAATTATGCCTATGCACAAGAAATTACAGGTGGTTATTATTATGTAAATGTTGCAAAATTCGTGAATGCCTGACTGGTTTTGTGAGGGTTCTACTCCGTCCTTTTAGCGAAAACTATTAAATCTTATCCTCGGGCAGGTCTGGAGTAAGTTGAGTTAAATTTACCGCTGACGAACTGACATCAAAATGCGCGTTTCAAATTAAGATGACGTGAAAAAACGGGTTGTCTGATATGATTTAAACCGGAGGAATATAAGAGATATGCCTGCAAATTAGGTGGTTCCTATACCACTTCACAGTACAGAGCTGAGGATTTGGTCGTCGCTAACGCCGTCACTGCTTATTCACGAACTCTAGTCATTTATATCACTTTGGATACAATCCCACGCATTCCTCACAGGCGTGTAGTGACTAGATCAACACGAAGTGCACTTGTGAATGCCTGTCGTGACTAAATCAAGTTGAAGTGCACTTTCGAAACGCTTGCTGCTTCCAGCTTCTGTAACAGCCAATCAGGGCCTCCTGTTGACTACTGCCGAACAGACCTCACTTCAGACGCCGTCCGCTGGCTTGCGGTTTTGCAGTCGTCTGTTAGTCAATTTCCTACTGCCCATCCTTCCGTTTATTCTGTATAGAATTCAGTCTTCCTAATACTCTGTCTTTTTCATGAATTCGCATATCTCCTAAGTAACGGGGCCTGGAAGATCGCAGCCGTTAACATTAACTTTCTTAGCCTTAACACCTCCTTGATAGGCTAAATTTATGAGTAGCCAGCCTAGCAGACTCCTGAACCGGCTCCGGCGTACCAGTGTGATATCGCACGAAGAACGGCGACAAACGAGGCTAACTGAAACGGCAATGGCTCGGTTCTACGGATTGCAAAAAATCTACAAACCCAAGGTTCGCCTGCGGCGAATCGTAGCATTGAGAGGCAGCCGTACTTACAACCTATCCAAAATGGATGTCAAGAAGAATGAAAGTTCTCCGAGAACCTCAATCAATTCGGCCTCCCAATTTCTGGCCAGCATCCGAGGAGGAACGGTTTTATTAAATCAAACTATTGTATCGTCTTATTATTCACATTTATATGAGAGGATCTGGCACGCGACGTCCTACGCAAACGACTCGAAGTGAAATACAACGAATCTGAAAATTGACCATCTAATGCAACGCTTTGTCTTCTGCCAGTGAAAGAACATACAAGCACGCCAAAGGGATTTCAATGGTTCTCTTATTTCTAGTCTGATGGCAGAACTGGTCTTACAGGAGCTAGAATATGTCGCGTACATTCATTTCGAAGCTGCATTCTGGTGCCGACATGTGGACGAGAATTTCATTGTTCTCGAACGAAGCATGCTGGGAGGCTTCCAAAACCTGCCTCTTAGGCCTATACGTCTGAGCTTGCCACATGCTTTGACTTTATTGACGGATAAATTATTAATTCAGACAGCCACAACTTTTACATGACTTGTCATTTTTAATATGCTCAATCTTAAACACTACCAAATGCAGTAGTTTAATATAGTCAGTCCACATACCTGCACTGCCATCTCTTTTCTGTATGACTAATATCTGCATCCCACTCGAAATTAAGATACACGGAGAATGGTTTTTCAATCAACTCAAGCAGAGTCAAGTCCAGTTGACATTAGGGTGACTGTTTAGGCTCATCTACAGCTATAAACGCAAGACACCCATGTGGCGTGAGGAGTGTATTTAGGTCATCATAGTACAATCCGGCACACAATTCTTGTGGAAAAAGACGTCACTAGTGACTGCACGAGTGACCTCGGGGTCAATGCGTGTGGCAGGCAGACCGGTGTTCTGCGAAGCGTGAATGCATTAGGTCACTCCGGAGCAACTCACCGACGTCTAAGTTTTAGCCGTACTCGTTGCTCGGGGTGGAAAGCAAGTTTAAACATGCTAGGCACACGAAAGTCTACAGAAATTGCCGTTTTGACCGTTAGGTTACAGCCTTCACTATGGGTTCTCCAGATCTGCTCACTCAAATGAACGCTTTCAGGTTTTAGTAACAAATTCATGTGCACAACGTGTTTGTTTCCTTAATATTCCTTAGTACTATTATAATTGTCTGCGAGTTTTTTGTCAGCTGCTGCTGCTGCAGATATTCTTGCCCATATGTGGGTTTGTTGAATCTATCGTAAACTTCAATTTCAATGCTCTTTAAACCTGTTCTACCACAAATTCGATCATTTTTTCCGGCCTGTATTCTGTCAACAAAGATGCATAACGTAAACTTTGTAAGGCGATATAGAACAGGTGGTCGTCACGTAAAGCACTAGTGGACTTGTGGGAGCCTGCTGCGCTGACTCATTCTGCTTTCGCTGTGCCGGGGCTTGTACCCATACGTAATTATCTTCTCCGCGCGCGCTATCGGCCTTACCCATGTTATCGGCCCACTCGCCGGTTGATACGCGCGTACGCTCAAAGGTAATCGATATCTCCGCCTCATCTGATTGTCGGCAGCCGACAGACCAATCGCCGCGCAGCCAAAGCTGCACTCACCCACACAGCCTCGCGGACACACCTGGCGAGCACAAGCAGCTGGCAGTTGGCGCACAAGACAGCCTTTGTATTGTCTGTTTTCCGGCAGTTAATTTTTGTCCACCCACACTACCTTGCCTGGCTTTAGATTTGGGGCATCCATCTGCTTGTCGACACTAGTACTCGCGACAATTGGTGACTCCCTCCGAATACACATTTCTTCCAAACCCACGATAAGGTTAACTTTGACCATGGACATCTATTCTCCACAAATTCAGCGCATGTTGGCGCCTGTTTCGGGCTGTCTCACTGTCGCTCAACTTACTCTAATGGGCAAGCGGTTGATGGAGATGCACAGCTTTGTCAAACCATCGGCTGCCGCACTCCTAACTCCTTAGTTTTCACCTGCATTTCCTCTACCAATTCTTAAGGCTGAGATTGCTAAAATTGCCGAAAATTGCCGTCCGTCGGTGCCAAAACCCCCGGCCCCTTCCTTTAGGCCGTCTACAGTTCACCAGTAGCCACCCTCGGCACCTGCTCTCTCTCCCTCTCACTTGACATTGTCTTCCGGCGTCTCTTGCCCCGGGTATTTGTCGTCGCTGACGTGCCCTTCGCCGTACATGGTGCAGACTTCCTCGCTGTCTTCAATTTCATGGTGGACTGCCGCCACTCCAGTTTGCATGACCATACAACCAAACCCTCTGTCTTAGGCATCCCTTCATCCGAAGTGCCCCAGAAACTCTTTGTCTTGGACCCAGATCCAGGGAAAATATTTGGCAGCTTCTCGCCAAGTAACCTGTTCTCATCCGAAGAAACTTCAGCACATATACTCCGACGCATGACATTATCCACCATATACGTACTACTTGTTTTCTCATGCTCTCTACGTCCCGCCATCAGGCGCCGCAAGTATCGCGTAGTTCCATCACATGCTTCAAATATATATATATATATT